GTCCGGGGTCATGCGTGCCTCAAGGCCAAGCGCTGGCCATGGCCGTCGACGACTTTAGCGCGATCCTCGACGTCCGCGGCGACGATGTCCATGGTCGCTTCAGGCACGCGCCTTCGTCTGCGTCCTACGCTCATGCCTCTTGCACCATGTAGTCGAGGCATGGCGCTCTTCCAATGTGGCCTCATCGAACGCGCGCATGCGGACTTTTCTACCGTCTTGAGCATCAACCCGACCCACGTCATGGCCCGCTACGCCCGGTATCCTGCCGTCCTGATAGGATCTAATAGTATGGCATCATGACGCGTCGCATAGCGCGGGGTGCTACAACACGGAGGGCGAATTCCAGCGTGCGATCCAAGACTACACAATTGCACTCGAGTGCGACGGCCACGACAAGAGCATGCTCGAGCGTGGCGGTGGCCGGCTCTACCTGCACGAGACGGCCGAGAAGGTCATCAACGACAAGCTCAACCGCAGCTACCACCGATCGACGCCCCGCGACGCACTGTCGTCGCCGCTTCGAAAGCGCCATAGCTCCCCGTCGGTCCGGTCGCCCATAAAGCCGCCACTGGCGCGCACCGCATCCGTCGACGTCGCGCGCGTCACGGTCGACCTCTCGGCTCTCTGCGCCAAGAAGCCGCTCATCAAGAAGGTCACCGTGACGTTATAACACGCTCCACCGTTGCTCCTCGAGTTTAGTGGGTAGCATATCTCACTTGTTGCTGGTGGTGGAGCGGACGTCGAGCTCTTGCGTGACGAGCGAGATGTAGTCTTCGTAGTAGATCCGTCCCGTGTCGGCGTCTTTGGCCACGTGCATGAAGCCTACATACGCAGCACGTCGTTCGCACGGTCAATGGCGCTGGCGTACTACCTTCGAGCTCCTTCTCGCGGAAGGGTGTGCCTTTGGTCAAGAGCAGCTCCTTCATGACGTCGGCCTCGAGATAACCCTTCTTGTCCGGGTCGAGCACCTACTCTCCCAGTATGACCCGACTGCCACGTATACGCGCGAGGGCCGTACGCGGAAGGCTGCCATGAGCGCCTCGTCCGAGTCGGGCTCATACTCGTGGCTGTACATGACCTCGAGCATCTTCTTTTCAAATTTCTCGTAGGTCACAAAGGTCGACGGCTCGTCGTCTTGCATCTACATCACCGTCTATCCATGCTCCTCATCCTCATCGACGTCCATACCTCGGGCAGAATCTTCTTGATGATGTCCTTCTCGCTCGGGTACGCGCCGAGGTACCGCATGATCGTGCTCACTTCTCTACCACGTCCCTCTCGATGCATGTCCAGCCGTCGTTCGCACGTACTCTTGGATGACGCAGCCCTTGCGCTCCTTGTCGAACATGTCGAAGGCGCTGCGGATCTGCGCGCGCAAGTACGCGTCCATGTCGGGCGACGGGTCCATCGCGCCGAAACCTCCAAATGGCTCCGAAAAGATCGCACCACGAATTCGTAGTATCACCGGACGAATTCCCGTCCTAAAACGTACTCGAAAACGCCTTATTCCTAGTACGTGGTCCGTCTACTAACCAACCGCATGTAGTACTTGATACAACAACATTGACGTTTACTCGTCCGTAAATCCCGTGACCTCCATGTTGACGACAAGCGTCAGCACGTTCTCGAGCTCTTGCTTGGACTTGTATTTGGGCAGATCGATGCGGTTGAAGCACGTGTGGGCGCGCGGAAACGTGTGCTCGGGGTACGCGACCGTGTTGAGCGTAAAGTGGCAGATCCGGCCGTCGTAGCTCGTGAGCGCCTTGAAGCCTTGGACCGGTACGCGCGACGAGCCGGTCGTAAACTGCAAGAGGCGCGCACGCTCTTCGTCCGAGAAGGCGCCGACGACCTCCCAGAACCACTGCCACAGCTCCGGTGGCATGTCTTCGTTGCACTGCGTGTGCGTCTTCCAGTCGGCGAGGTCGATCGACGGCACGCCGCAGAGAATGAGCTCGAGCTCTTGGTAGTCAAACACCAAGATGAGTTCTTGGGGAATGACTTCAAAGATGCCGGCCATGAGGTGGTGCAGCTGCTCCGCGACGCTGTCGAGCATCACGTGTCGCAAGTGGAGGTAAATGTACTCCGACTTGTTGGCGTCGTTGACCTCAATGTGCCGGCCGTTCTCCTTGAGATCGATCGTGACGACTTGCCCCGTCGCTTTGCGGTGGTTGACGCTAAAGTCGAGGCCCATGTCCTCGACGCCGTCGTGCTCCTTGATGTACCGCATCGACTTGTACAGCTGGTGGTCGATAAACTCCAAGTCGCTAAACGAGATCGGCACGCTACGCAGGTCGCCCTCAGCCTCCTCGTTCGCCTCCGCAAGAGAGAAGTGTA